GGAGCCAGGATTCAATCCCTGCAGTTTGACTGGAGAGACAGTAGTTTTAAAACAAAATAAAATGTGGGATGAGCATAGCCAGATGTGGGAAAATTGGGACACTTGCCCTTTGTTATGTCTCTCTCTCCTGCCAGTGACCTCTTTTCTTCCAACACTGCCTTGGGCCTTCTGAACTGGTTTGGGAGTGGTGTACCCATATGCATTACCACCTCTTTTTCTGGACTTTTCCACACAGAAATTATTCCTGGTTCCCACACCTTGGGGAACAGCCATCCTGGTCTTAGTAAAAACTGTCAAATTAAGTTCAGCAAAAGTGCCAGTGGGAATTGTGATTTAGCAGAAATAGCAGGAAATGATAAGTCTTGGCTTTGCAAGTAACCAGCTGTGTGACCTAGGTCAAGCAATTGGATCTCTGAGCCTCAGTTTCCTCCTACATAAAATGAATTGGTACTATTTCTACTCTCTTCTCACCTAATATTAAATATTATTTCTCCTGTAGAAATCAAATGAGGTCACACGTGGTAAAGTAAAATGTAAGCTTTATTCGAGGACAGCATATTGCTATACATATGCAAACACATCCTGTGATGTTTAATTTCTTGACTATTAGAATATGTTACTGGGACAAACTTCTGGCCTTTTTTCACATATCTGTTTCTGATGTCATACTTTACCACTCCTTCCAATTCTTCAAATTTCATTGCTCAGAACAATGAAAATTGGACTTTCGCCAACAATTTACTTTAAAATATTCGCTTCTTTAAAAACTAAAAATTAGAGCAGTTTGTACCTTTTGGAATTGAAGCTATTTGACTCTATAATATCAGACATGTGTATTTATTTTATTGTACAGAAAAAATCTCTGTTAACCAGAATGCTAAGAGGATTAAGAGGTTTTAAATAACTTATTCCTGGTTAACTAAAAGGCAAAAATGCATTAGAAACCCCTTTCTTTTTTTATACTGTAGACAATACTTTTAAAATACATCATTTACTTCTCTGATTTAGGAAGTAGAGCCCAATGAGGATAACCAAATCTCTGTTTGTATATGTGTGTGTGCTTGCGTGCGTATGAAGGCAGGGGGTGGGGAGAGAGAGAGAGAGATTATTATTATATTTTGGAGAACAGAATTGACACTTTGAACTTCTCTGTTCAGTGTACAACACTATATATACAGTCACAGGCAACGTAAGAAATTGAATTAACGAAGAAATAACCTTTAGAACATCACTTAGAATAATGAAGACTCATTACAAATTAAAAAGACGTTAATAATAAAATCTACATAGTGGTTAAGGGCTTAGGCTCAAAGCCAGTCCACTTGGGTTGGAATCCTGGCTTGGTTACTTAGTAGCTCTGTGGCTCTGGATAAGTTACTTAACTTCTCTGGGTCCCTAATGTTCTCATCTGTAAAATTAAGATAATAATAATAATACCTACTTCATAGAGTTATTCAAGTAAAGGCAGTACCTGATGCATAGAAAGTGCCCTATAAACGTTAGAATTATTTCTGTGTTGGTGGTGGTGAGCACTTAACTATGTCTTTAACATACTAATCCACAACAACTCTGTGAAGCAGGTACTATTATTATCTTTATTTTACAGAGGAGAAAATGAAATAGACAAAATGAGTAACTTGCCTAAGGCCACTTAGCTAGTACCAATGTGGCTGAGAACCCATCCCACACCTGTCTGGCTCCAAATCCATGGTCCTAACCTCCATCCTTAGCCACTTTGGTCACATATTTCCTGATCTCAATCCTTCTTATCACCTATCCTATTTTTCATTATTTACCTTTGTTCTCAGGGTTAGAATAAACAAAGCATTTATGAAATGGAATGGCACTGAAAAATCAAAATTGAGATCTGATAGTTTGACTGCATTTAATGAGGTTTGGGGGCATTATTTGTTAGTGAACATGGTCATTTAAATAAATCACATATTGGGAGTGGCCTTGAATAAATTATTTTAAAATTAATATTTCTTTTGCATCAAACCTACTAAAGTCATCACAAGATTCACCTAGAGCAATTTTATTCTGTTTGGCTTTGGGATGCTTGGAAAATTTTTTTCAGTTAATGTTCTGTCTTAGAATGTATTCTTCCAGAGGTCCAGGTTAAACTCTCAATGGTGCCTAGAACACCCACTTGGGTGCATATTTACATTATTTGACATGGGCGATGGATTGCTTGACAGATGTAGCCTGTGAAGATGCGAGGATGGGGTGAAGAAAGGTATGCATGATCAAGTCTGTCTTTTCCAGTAACAGTAATGGGTCATGGCTGCATTTTGAAGGGAAAGGGAAAATTACTTTTCCAACCCAGAGTATAAAGCTATGACTCATGCTGGAATTGTTCCAGAATGCTGGTCAAATTATCCAGATTGACAACTAAAGCTTAAAGATCTTGGGAAGACAACATAGAGAGCTGAAATGCAGGGACAGACACATGGGAAGCTTAGATTCATTGGAAAAACATGAACTGGTTTGAGAAAAAGAATAAGAAAAGCAGAGTGTATAACATTAAAAAAAAAAAATCAAAGAAATGCCTTTAAAATAACTTTCCTGATCTCCTTAGATAATGCTAGGAACTCCAAACTCCCTACCCAGCAAATTAATGGGATATCCAAAGAAAACCAATCCCTCCTTGTAAACAAAGTGGAAATTTCCTTCTTTCCAAAAGGGCCCCAGTCCCAGCCATAGAGGAAGCAAGGAGACGAAAACACATTTCTGCCTGAAATGACCTCCTATTTTAAGAAAAAACAACAGCCTCAAAAGAAGGAAAGGAAAAAACAAAGTTCCACCCAGAAGGAAATTGTATGTAAACAGCGCAAAGGGAGACCAAGACTGAGAGGGCTGGAATACTGAAATAAGCAACGAGCAAATGCCTCTGACATTGGCATTAGCCTCTGACAATATCAGAATCTGAGCTTTGAGACAACTGCTTTGTGATTGAAAAAAAAGGGTTGGGGTAAGGGAGGATCCGGACAAAAGCAAGCTGGTTGAAAGGTCCCTTCTGAAGCCGTGGAAAGTTTGATCTTTGAAGTTTGCCTACTTTTTCAGGACTCTGCTAGTGTGCAACCTGGGGGAGCTCAGCAACCACAAAGCGCTGGCTATAATTTTCTGCAATTTGTCACATGCCCTCTTCAAGCCCTGGTGAGATGGTTTTCTTTTGTTTTTAAGCTGCGAATGGTAACAAGGTAATTCAGGCAAGATAAGAGCAAACTGGAATCTTCCTTCAGTTCATCTAAGCCTGGAAGCTATGCTAGCCCATTGGTGTATTTTAATTTTATTTTTTTCTGCATATGTATTCGGTTTGGCCCACACAGCACTCATTTTCCCCTCTCTTTTTGGATCCAACATTCAAAAATCAAGAGATTCCAAGTCAAAATTGGATTTCTATTTACTCTTGAAAAATCTGGTCACACGGGTCCCAGATTCCTGTGGGGTAACATCTGAAGCTGAATACCTGCTGCCCCTGCTCACATGGAGCCTCCACATGACACCCTCATAGTCCCCATTGTGCTGGCTCTACTCAGTTCTGTTACCTCTTTGCCCCACCCACGGAAACTTGTGTTGGGTTCTAAACTTATCCATAGACATTTTTAGGAGTATCCGCAGTCTAATCCAGGACTGCAGCAGCCTGCTAAGAAGGATTCTAAGGCCGGCTGGGCTTGGCACAGGAGTTATGATTAGTTGTTGATATTCTCTTTCGCCACAGAGGGAGTGGGTGGCAGCACAGATGCCATGTATTTGTCCTCTCTGATTAGCTACATCTCTGGTTTAAGCCTGTATCTTGCCTTTAAATAGGACCCAGGCTGCTTCTCAGTGCACTCTCTCCATAAACATTCTTGAAACCCAGTAGTGTTCATCTCATCTCAAAACCTCTAAACAAAACCTTATGGAATCTCATTGACTCTCTTGAAATTTCATTATTCCCACCTCCTTTCATAGGCCCTCAGCCACTTTACAAGCAGCTCCTGGTATAATTCAAACAGAGCTCCAAATAAGTGAAAGAGAAAGCACTGATAACTTGTTTTAAGGTGATATGTGCTATGGCTTCTATTTAACTACCTACCTATCTATCTATCTATCTATCTATCTATCTATCTATCTATCTACCTATCTATCTATCCATCCATTTAGACTCCTAGCTGCCTGCCATAGGAGTCTGGCCTACAGGTATTCTCTCTTCTTCTCTAAGTGGCTTTTCACATCCTCACCATGGCTCTCCATCTACTGTCCCTTGGCCAAACTCTACAATTAATGGAGGCCAGTACCTAACCAAACCTTTCACACAAAATGGCCCACTAGAAGTCCAGGGGTGGGAATCTTGGTGAGCTGCTTTTAAAAGACCTCTGACCCTTAAATGAAACCTCTTTGGTGCTTTTATGGATTCTGTTGTTGGACCCACAAAGACCCTTAAGAATAATGCCTGGAGCCAGCTGGTCCCTGCCATCATTGAAACCCAAAGGGAGGAGCCCCACAGGCGAGGAACTGCTCGCTAGATGTCTTGAAGTTGCTTGTATTTCAAAAGAATTCAGCTTACCACCACTGTGGCTTTTAGCCTCTCTAATAAAGCAGGTTTTAAAAAGCTAAAAACGTAATCTGCCTTTTAAATCTTCTCTTCCTGCTGAGTCTAAATGGGGTTGCAGCAAAATGCCTGGCCAGCATTAGAGTTCTCTGAAGCCAATCAACTGAAATAGGTTTGCTTGGGGGATTTGAAATATATTTGAAAACACTGCAGGGGTGGCGCAAAATAACTGAACAAAGGTGAATTGCATGAAAGGAAGAAGCAGGTGGAGGTTTATAAAACTAAAGAATCACTTGTATATTTTGGAAACATCAGTAATTGAGACAGGGATGCTGACCTTAGAAGTTCATCTATCTGATCATAAAAATGGTTTGCATTTGGCATTAAAAAAAGATTGTGATAATGAACAAGGCTTCAAATACACAGCCCGGAATAGCCAAGGTTGTGTAAAATCCTTGAAGAAATACCTTTGTATCCAGAGAGGCTGAGGCTAAAACAGGTCACAGGCAAGGACGGGCATTACTGTGATGTTTTCTCAGCAGCTTTGAGTAGGGCAGCATCATACATTTTCTTCATCCTATTGAAAATGTGGAGTACACTGAGAGTTGATTTTTTGGTAACACAAACTCTAGTTTGCTCTTGTATCCCATGGAAAAAAGAAAATCAAGGTAAGAATTGCCACAGCAAAATCACTATAGATAAACTGTATTTTTTGTGAAGACAAAATTAAGATTGTGGCATGCGACACATTGTACTCAATAATTTCCTGAAAGGTAACGTACCTATGGATCAAAGTCATTTAGAATAAGGATGATTTATAGAGTAATAAATGTAAACTATGGGTTATCCAACAACATGCAAATTTTCTGATAGGGCAAATTTGGGTGACTGCCCCCTGCCAAGGGACATCTCTCTAAGGCCTTAAGAGAGGAACGAGACCAGTTTTCGGGTAAATTTGCAGGTTGGATGACATGAGTTGTCTTACAATTTTACTTGGCCAAAGTGAGTTCTATACTTAAGGAAGAGGATAATTTAGCAGTGCAAAATACTCTGAAAATAATACATTTCTCTGCAAGAGGGTTTTAATGTTGCTTTTCCTATATTTTCCTATACTTTGACTCTGTATGGAATATATAGAGAGTGGACAAAGTTGCCAGAAGTTCTTGTTCACTTTGTTGGATGATGGTACGGGGGTACAAACTTGAAAATGCAACTTTTGCCAGCACACAATTGCTTATTATCCTTTGAAGGCCAACATGTGTGCTGAAAGAAATGCCTCAGAACACTTGAGAAGGTGGATGCATATGAGTAAATTGCAAGGGTTTCAAGCATTGGTTTGGATAAGAATGGAAAAATTCAGTTGCTTAGCCAAGGCAGTTCCAAACGACTTTGATCTGGATATCTCAGGAGAACGAGCTTGTGCCGTCCCAGCATTTTCTGGTTTTGGCTGGGAAAGCATATAGTAAAGAAATAAATACAAAATAAAACCCAAAGTTTTTAATGGGTTTTTAGAACTTCCACTTCTGGCTACAAATGGGAGACAAAAGGCAAATAGATATTGTTTTAAAAATGCTAAGCCAGGCCTTTTCTAACCTCAAGAAAACATTGGGGTTTGATTAGGTTCAGATTTGGGGCAAGTTTCAGGACAGTGTTTGTTCTAGCAACTTCCTCCCCATCTCTGTGGAAAGTGTTGGTCTGCTGTGGTTCTGGAAGCCATGCTCTGAAGGCTCTAGGCTGGGGCATCATGAGACAGGCTCCAAAATCTGTCATTTGTGCCTCTGCCCACGCTTCCTTCAGTGTGTTCCCTGGAGCCAGGCCTCCCCAACTGTATGAGCCTTTTCATGACTAAGCAGAGCCCAGACCTCTTCTTGTCTCAGCGCTTTACGGTAGAATCTCTCTGTTTACCTCCCATCTCCAGGCATCTCTTGTGTTAATCCATCCCTGGTGCCTCAGATGAGCATTTGTTCCATTTCTGCCTTCAGCTGAGCTTCATTTCACTTCTCTATCTAAGCTGCCCTTTGGATTCAGGGATATTTCTTATGTTCAGTCAGCAGGTACTTTTGGTTGTATTATTCATTTAGCTCTGGAAATCCACTTCTATCTGGGAGATATTTTCTAGAAGGAAAGATAGTGATGTCTCCTGTGAAATAAAAGGAGGACAGAGAGGAAATTAATATTTTGTGAGAATCAAAAATGCTCCAGGCTTGGTTGAGAAGCTTAGTCAAGGATCTCATTTAATCTTGATATCAGTATAATATATAACATATTGTTGTAAATATCAGAAGGGATAATTCATGTAAGATACTCAGAACACAGCCTGGCACATAGTAAGGAGTCAATAAATTTGAGTTATAATGATTATTTCTTAACTTTTTTCCTAGAAAGGAAGGGACTCATTAATCTGTTCATTTCAGTCAGGATCTCCTAAATTGGCTTGCTATTTATAGGGCTCCATAAATGTTTGCTGAACATGACTGAGTGAATGGACTCTTGCCAGAAGTATCTTGCTACTGTTGCTGACTTTCTGGTTAACTAGATATAATTTGCCAGATTAATTTATTCCCCTTTAAAAACCCATAGTTTTGAAGAAGAATCTGACATCAAAATGGTTGAGATAAGACAAAAATTTCCCCCTTATTTCATCTTTGTTTATTTTTCTTCACCTTATGTTATTATCCCTGAATTCTAATGAGCCATATACTTCTTATGCTTGGATGAAATATAAATACACTACTTAGATACAACTGTTTGATAAACCCAACCAGGGAATGCAATGTTTTGCAGACACAGAGACTAGGTTGAAATCAAGCCATGGGAATAAAAAAGTAAGAGTGTGAGAAAATAGAATATTGCCTGAAAAACATTATGATTGAGGAAGCCAATACAGGCAAATACTGCAGGAACAGCAAGGATTTGGAATGCATTTTTTAGCTGTAACTGGGGCAACATAGAATAATGGAAAAGCTCAAACCTCTAGCACTTACTCCAAATCTTATCCAGTTTTCTCATCTGTGAAGTGAAAAAGTCATGTACGTGAACTTCATAACTTCCTAACCCTAATATCGTATGATTTTATTTAATAATAATAATTTACATGTATAGATTTTTCACCCTTTGAAAACTCTTTTACATTGTCCTATTAAATATAGGGCTACTACACTAGTAGGTGCACATAAATTATTTGATAAAGAAAAAATACAAAGGCCCAAATCTATATATTACTATAAAAAATGTGATGCACCTAAATCTGTTGAATAACTTGTCAATCACGATGTGAAAAATAAATTTAACTTATTATTTAGCCACCCAGGATGTTAGAATGGAAGACGCTCAGAAACCACGGAGTCACCTTCTTTATCATAGATGATGAAAAGTAAAAGAACAGGCTCAAGGTCACTTGGCTTCTGGTTGAGATCTCTGAAGTCCCAATAGGCTATTCTTTACTCAACATCAATGTCACTGAATTGATTGCTAAATTGATTATACCAACAGTCCCATGCAACTCAGACAATCTTCTGAGTAAAATAGAGACATATAAGTAGTGAAAGATATTAAAAGTCAGAGAAGGAAGAAATTTTGCTAGAAAAATGTCTGAGAAACTTAAGTGATTTCTGCTTAGTATCATTTTATCTTACAAAGATGTTGGCTCATTTGTCACCTACAATCGAAAAAGAGCTAGTCTCTAATGTTATTTTTGCTTCTTTTTTCCTTCAAATCTACTGTTGGAATGTTTAGTGTTTACATCTTTACCTATACTCTCCTGAACATATGTGGTGTCTCACTTTGTAAAACCAATAACAGAATTCTATATCTCCTAATAAATTAAATGTTAAATATAGAAGCTTTTTTTAAAAACTAATGTTATACCAGTTTTGAATTTATCCTCAAGAGTGGAATGCCAGGGATCAGAACTTTTTAATCCTTAATTTATTTTTGTGCTAGAAAACTAACATAGTTTTATGTACTGACATCTAAAGTTTGAATGGCACATTAGCATAATTTTCAAGATTTCAACATGAACACCTATTTTATATATTTTTTAGAAAGACTGCAAAATTACTTCTCTTTTTGGGTATGATAAATTCCTACTGCAGCATGGAATTTCTGTTAAAAAATCTTTTGTAGAATTCATATGCTAAATATCAAACTAGGTAAGTGTCAAACTTTGTAGAAATATAAGGAAATTAGTGCTTTCAATTTTATTAGCACATAGAAGCAGGAATCCTGTGGCACACATCTGAATACTAAAAAATTTACAGTGGTGTTAAAGTAAGAGGCATTTATCAAAACTCTGGGATATACAAATCATTAGGCTAGGAACTTGAGCTACTTCTTCCCTTTAAAAGCTTATCATCTAATATAGATCAAGGGTCAAAAACATTTTCTGTAAAGGGGCAGATGGTAAATATTTTTGGCTTTGCAGGCCATATAATCTCTGTTGTCAACTACTGTAGAATGAAAGTAGCCATTGACAATACACAAAAGATGAGAGTCACCATGTTCTAATAAAACTTTATAAATGGACACATATTTGAATTTTGTATTTTATTTTCATGTGTTACAAAATATTATTCTTGCTTTGATTTTTTTCAACCATTTAAAAATGTGAAAACTATTCTTAGTTTGTGGGCCACACAAAAATAGGCAGTGGGCCAAATTCGGCCTGTGGGCCATAGTTTACTGAGCCCTGTAGTAGATGTGCATACAAAATAAAATAGAACACAGGGACTAGTATGCTATGATGGAGGAAACATATACTATGCGACTACAAAATGGGACAAATTAGAAAAGACTGTAATTCTAACATTTTTATGGAAGTAATCATTTTGCTTTCATATTTCTTTGAAATGAGATTTACATAAGGTAAAATTAACTTCTTAGAAATTAACAATTGAGTGGCATTTAGAATATCCACAGTGTTGTGCAACTGCCACCTTTATACAGTTCCAAAATTTCTTCACCCCAAAAGGAATCCCTGTCCCCATGAAGCAGCTGCTCCTCATTCCTCTCTTCCCCCAGCCCCTGGCAACCACCAACCTGCTCTCTGTCTCTATGGATTTACCTGTTCTGGATATTTCATATACATGGAATCATACAATATGTGATCTTTTGTATCTGGCTTCTTTTACTTAGCCTTTCTAGGTTTATCCACATTGTAGCATGCATATATCAGTACTTCATTTTTTATGGATGAATGATATTCCATTGCCTGTATGTATCATGACTTGTTTATCCATTCATCAGTTGATGGATATTTGGGGCTGTTTCCACATTTTAGTTAGTTTGAATAATGCTGCTATGAACAAGTTTGTACATGTATTTGTTTGAGTACCTAAGTTCAATTTTTGGGGGGTATTTACCCAGGAGTAGAATTGATTGATCATACAGTAATTCTATGTTTAACTTTATGAGTTAAACTTTATTATCAAATTGTTTTCCACAGCAGTTGAACCATTTTATATCACCCCCAGCAAGGTATATCCTCACTAACACTTGTTATTTCTGTTTTTTTTAAATTATAGCCATCCTAGTGGCTGTGAAGCAGTATCTCATTATGGTTTTGACTTGCATTTCTCTAATCATTAATGATGTTGATCATCTTTTCATGTGCTTATTGGCCATTTGTATATCTTCTTTGGAGTAATCTCTGTTAATGTCAATTTTTAATGCCCATTTAAAAACTGAATTGTTTATCTTCTTGTTGTTGAGTTGTAAGAGTTCTCTATATATTCTGGATATCAGACCCTTATCAGATATATGGTTTGCAAATATCTTCTCCCATTCTGTAGGTTGTCTTTTCATTTTCTTGATAATGTCCTTTGATACACAAAGGTCTTTAATTTTGATGAAGTCCAATTTTTCATATCTTTCAAACTTAGGTGCATCCTACTGTTCAAATCTCCAATTTTTATAGCTTAAATTATTAATAAAAATCATAAAGACCAAATTTTATATCCTTATCCAGTTAGGATCTAAGAGAACATCAATGGCATCACAATAACTAATATTTATTGACCATTTGCTGTATGCCAGGCTCTGTGCTAAGTACGTGATACACAGTATCTTACTTAATTCTCACAGCACCAACCACTAGGCATGGAGAAGTCAAATGTCCTGGGCAAGGTCACACAGTTATTTCATGGAAGAGGCAGCATCAAAACCAGGCAGTTTGGTTTTACCACCTCATAACTTTTTCAAAAAAGTTTTTGAATGTCCATTTGCATATGAAGAAGAGGCTAATGTTATCATTATGTCTTTGGTTGACATGTAGGGGAATAGGAAATTGAGTTTGGCATTTCAAAAACATCTGATCAAGGGAGGACCAAATCGTACCAGATCTCTCAGGTAATTTGATAGTAAGAAAAAGTTCTGATTATGTCATTTCTTTGTTCAAATTGTTTCCATAAATAGACAATGTCTTCTGAATAATAAGCAAACAAAAACCAGGATTAATGAAATATAGTATGTGGCAGTGCTTTCAAATATGTTATTTTGTTAGAACTCTATAAGTAAGTATTGATATTTCAATTTTGCTAAAGAACCAGTTTTTAAAACGTTAGATTTGTCCACGAGGCCCGTCTCTCCAAACTATTCAGCATATTCACAGGTTTCTATGATCTCAAAGGATCATTATATCTTTATATTCTCTACTTCCATTAGCATGAGTTAAGGAAGACTAGACTTTCTCTTATGCTCCCATGGCTTTGTTTTCTGTGTCTCTTCTGTGGGCAGTTGTCATTCTCCTGTGTCTACCTATTCTTCAATGCTTAAGTGAAACATCAGTTCATCCTTCAGGTCTTCTCTGATCCTCCCAACAAGAATTCTCTTTCTCTCTTCTGAGACTTCATGACATGCTCTGTCTTTAGACTCCTATTACTGACTGCATTTGTATGATCAGAGGTGGATTTTCTCTCTTCTACTGGACCAAAGTCTCCTAAATTCTGAATCTTATTTTAACCCCATTGGTGCCCTTCTCAACATCTGATCCAGTGTCTTGCCTTTAATGGTTCACTAGAAATAAGAAATACCTCATCAACTGGAGCCAGGCCCTAGCCTAAACATTGGAATTCAGTTCTCATTAGTAAGAGCTATCATCAGTGCAGTTTAAGAGAATGATTGTTATAATTGAGTACAGTGTATTTTGAAAACGTTCGTATTAAAATACTGGGTACTCCAGACTTCAGACTTCAGACAAAGCTACAGTAATTAAAAGAGCATGGTATTGGCACAAAAGCAGACATATGGATCAATGGAACACAAGAGAGAGCACACCTATGGTCAGTTAGTCTTCAACAAAGGAGACAAGAATATACAATAGGGAAAAGATAGTCTCTTCAGCAAGTGGTGTTGGGAAAGCTTGACAGCTGCATGTAAATCAATGAAGTTAGAACATACCCTCAAACCATATGCAAAAATAAACTCAAAAATGGCTTAAAGACTTAAATATAAGACATGACACCATAAAGCTAGAAGAGAACATAGGCAAAACATTCTCTAACATAAATCGTACCAATGTTTTCTTAGGTCAGTCTCCCAAGGCAATAGAAATAAAAGCAAAAAGAAACAAATGCAATCTAATCAAATTTATAAACTTTTGTGCAGTAAAGGAAACCATAAACAAAATGAAAAGACAACCTACAGACTGGGAGAAAATATTTGCAAATGATATGACCAACAAGGGCTTAACCTTCCAAAATAAATTGTACAAACAGCTCATACAACTCAATAACAACAAAAAAAACCCAATCAAAAATAAGCAGAAGACCTAAATAGACATTTCTCCAAAGAAGACATACAGATGGCCAATAGGCACATGACAAGATGCTCATTACCACTAATTATTAAAGAAATGTAAATCAAAACTACAATGAGGTATCACCTCACACCGGTCAAAATGGCCATCATTAAAAAGTCTACAAATAACAAACGCTGGAGAAGGTGTGGAGAAAAGGGAACCCTCCTACACGGTTGGTAGGAATGGAAATTGCTACAGCCACTATGGAAAACAGTACAGAGGTTCCTCAAAAAACTAAAAATAGAGTTGCCATATGATCTAGCAATCCCACTGCTGGGCATATATCTGGAAAAAACTATAATTCAAAAACATATAGGTACCCTTATGTTCACAGCAGCACTATTTACAATAGCCAAGACATGGAAGCAACCTACATGTCCATCGACAGAGAAGATGTGATATATGTATGTGTGTGTGTGTGTGTGTGTGTGTGTGTGTATGTATGTATATATGTATATATATATATATATATATAAAATGGAATATTACTCAGCCATAAAAAAGAATAAATGCCATTTGCAGCTAATGGATGGACCTAGAGATTGTCATACTGAGTGAAGTAAGTCAGAAACAAAGACAAATACCATATGATATCACATATGTGAAATCTAAAATACAACACAAGTGAACTTATCTACAAAACAGAAACAGGCTCACAGACATAGAGAACAGATTTGTGGATGCCAAGGGAGAGGGGGTTGGGAGAGGAATGGATTGGGAGTTTGGATTAGCAGATGCAAACTATTATATATAGAATGGATAAACAACAAGGTCCTACTGTATAGCACAGGGACCTATATTCAGTATCCTGTAATAAGTCATAATGGAGAAGAATATGAAAAAGAATATATATATATGTATAACTGAATACTTTTCTGTACAACAGAAATTAACACAACATTGTAAATCAACTATACTTCAATAAAATAAAAAATATTCGGTATTCATTCATTCAGTCACTCAACTATTTGTTGAATATGAATAAAACAGCAAATTCCTATTTAATGAAGCTTACAGTCGTGTGTGTGCGTGTGTGTGTGTGTCTGTGAGAGAGAGAGAGAGAGAGAGAGAGCGCTAACATAAAAAAATAAACATATGTCAGTTAGTCGTAAGTGCTTGAATATAAAGAAAACCAGGTACAGGGTTAGAGAATAATGCTGGGAACTGGGTGATGGGGAGTCTGGTCAGGAAAGCCCTTTTTGATAAGAAGACATTTGAGAACTATAAAGGAAGTAAAGGACTTAACTGTGGATACCTGGGGAAGGACATTTCAGGCAGAGAAAGAGTTCAAGGACTTGAGGCAGAAAGCTGGTTGTGCTAGAGTGGTGGGAGATGAGGTCTGAAAGGTAGGGGGAGGCCATGCTGTGAGGGTTTTGTAGGTCGTGATAAGGAGTCTGGAGATAACCACAAATGAGCAGGAAAACTAGGGGGCGGTTTTGAACAGAAGAGTGACATGATTTACCTGATGTTAAAGGATCATATAGGCTGCTGTGTCTGATTTCTTCATTGACTGTGTCTCCTCAATGGCAGGGGATGCCTTGCTTATCTTTTTGTCCCCAGTCACTAGTACAATCAGAGTCCTATTTAGTATCCATTAAATAAGTGCTCACTGGATAAACGTTTACAAGAAATACTGACTGTTGGAAGGGCTGTGAAAAGAGCTTAAAATAGAAAAGTTTCCTGAGTTATCACAACTCCAATAATACAATTTACTTCAGCAAAACATTCTAAGCCTTTTTGTATTTATTTATTCAGTGGAGAGTTGTTTTTCTTTTTCTCAATATTAATGCCCAAACTAAGGCTTTTCCTGCAATAGCTGAGAAAGTTACAGCTTTTCTTCATAAGAGTCTTATATAATTATAATGCTACACAAGTTTTGAATACTGGGCCAAGGGAAATACACTGGGTTCTAATCTTGGCTCTGTAATTCATTAGCTGTGGGACCTTTGAATGTGAAATAGTCACACATCCATTTGTTTGTGAAACAGCTATTTGTTGAGCACCCACTCACTGTCCTTGAAGTCAAGATGCTCACAGTCTGAGCAAGACAGATGTAGACAAAGATAAAGAACCCAGGGCAGTGAGCTGGCTGTGGTGGAGGTATGCATGGAGTGCTTTGAGATTAACCATCTTATCTCAAGTTCACCAGGAAGCTAAGAGAGAAGGGAATCCAAGGCAGGGGCATGTGCAAATCGCTGATCATATAGAAGAACATGGTGTGTGCAGGGAATTGAAAGGCATTTGGGAGGTGGCTGGAATAGAGTAGCAGAGGATAGGTCACTTTTCTCTGCCAGCATCTCTTGGGGAAGTCCCACCTTACCCATTCCAAGTGGGCTTTGTGTGTTTTTTTGTCACTGTGTCAGGTTCGTGTGTTGTCACTGTGCCAGGCTTGCTGGCCAGAGGATTGGACAGGTCATCTAGGATGACCATTCATAGTGACTTAGCCTCCTGGACCCAGGCAATTTTCCCCTCAGTTTTATTGAGAAATAATTGACTTATACCACTGTATACATTTAGGGCATATAGCGTGATGGTTTGATTTACATATATTGTGAAATGATTACCACAGTAGGGTCAGCTTACATCCATCTTCTCATATAGATACAATAAAAAGAAGAAAAGATAAAAGGAAAAAAATGTTCTCCTTTTGATAAGAACTCGTAGGATTTACTCTCTAACAACTTTCCTATATATCACAGAGCAGCCTTAGTTATTGTCATCATGTTGTTGACATTACACCCCTAGTACTTCTTTAATTTATAACCAGAAATTTGTACTTTTTGACCACCTTCCTCCAGTTTCCCCTGCTCTCACCCTCCGCCTCTGTAATCACAAATCTGATCTCTTTTCTATAAATTTGGTGTGGGTTTTTTTGTTTGTTTGTTTTGGTTTTTTGTTTAGTTTCTTTTTTTAGATTCCACATATAAGTGAGATCATATAGTATTTATCTTTCTCTATCTGACTTATTTCACTTAGCATAATGCCTTCAAGTCCATCCATATTGCCATTTTTTAATAGCTGAATAATATTCCATTGTATGTATATACGCCAACTTCTTTACCCATTTATCCATCAATGGACACTTAGGTTGTTTCCATGTCTTGGCTATTGCAAGCGATGCTGCTATGAACATGGGGGTGCAAATACCTTTTCAAGTTAGTGTTTACATTTCCTTCGGATATAGTCCCAGAACTGCAGTTTCCAGATCACACGGTGGTTCTATTTTTAATTTTTTTTAGAATTCTTCGTACCGTTTTCCATAGTGGCTGTACCAAGATACATTCCCATCAACAGTGCACAAGAGTTCCCTTTTCTCAACATTCAAGCCAGCGTCTGTTATCTCTTGTCTTTTTGATGATGGCCATTCTAACAGGAGTGAGGTGTTATTATGGCTTTAATTTGCATTTCCCTAATGACTAGTGATGTTAAGCATCTTTTCAATTATCTGTGGGCCTTTTGTATATCTTTTTTGGAGAAATGGTGATTCAGGTCCCTTGTCCATTTTAAAAATTGGGTTATTTGGTTTTTTGTTGTTGTTATTGAGCTGAATGAGTTCTTTCCTTTTTCAAGATTTTTTTGATGTGGATCATTTTTAAAGTCTTTATTGAATTTGTTACAATATTGTTTCATTTTATGTTTTGGTTTTTTGGCCCCGAGGCGTGTGGGATCTTAGCTCCCCAATCAGGGATCGAACCCACACTCCCTGCATTGGAAGGCAAAGTCTTAACCACTGGACCACCAGGGAAGTCCCTGAATGAGTTCTTTATATATTTTTGATATTAACCCCTTATCAGATATATGGTTTGCAAATATTTTTTCCCATCTGTACGTTGTCTTTTCACTTTGTTGTTGGCTTCTTTTGCTGGGCAGAAGCTTTTTAATCTGATGTAGTCCCATCTGTTTATTTTTTTATTTTGTTGCTTGTGCTTTACGTGTCAGATCCAAAAAATTATTACCAAGACCCATGTCGAGGAGCTTTAGTTCCATGTTTCCTTCTAGATCTTTCATGGTTGTAGGTCTTACATTTAAGTCTTTAATCCATTTTGGGTTAATTTTTATGAGTGGTATAAGATAGGGGTCAAGTTTCATTCTTTCAAATATGGATATTCAATTATCCGGGCACTATTATTGAAAAGACTGTCTTTTCTCCATTGTGTATTCCTGGCTCCTTTGTCAAATGTTAGTTGACCATACAGTCAACTTGGGTTTATTTCTGGGCTCTCAATTCTGTTCTATTGGTCTACTGACCTGTTTTTATGCCAGTACCATATTGTTTTGATGACTATAACTTTATAGTATAGTTTGAAATCAGGAAGTGTGGTGCCTCCTGCTTCATTCTTCCTTCTCAGGATTTCTTGGTTATTTGGAGTCTTTTGTGGTTCCATATAAATTTTTGGAGTGTTTTTTTTTTCCTACTTCTATAAAAAATACCAACTGAAGTCTTGATAGGGATTGCATTGATGGCTTCTTGTAGTATTGATATTTTAACAACATTCATTCTTCCAATCCATGAACGTGAAATACCTTTCCATTTATTTGTGTCTTCTTCAATTTCTTTCATTAATGTCTTGTAGTTTTCAGAGTAGAGATCTTTCATCTTCTTATTTAAATTTATTCCTAAGTATTTTATTGTTTTTGATGCTATTGTAAACAAAATTTCTTTCTTTTTTGTTTTTTTCAGAAAATTTGTTGTCAGGTGTAACAGTCCTGTGAAATTCACTTAAGGACACTGGGGGAGAGTATCTCTTCCTTCTGATGAAGAGTTGTAAGAATGTGAGTTTGGGTGTGACTATAGTTGTGTTTTTGTCCGAAAGGTGAGAACTTGTTGGAGAATTAATCACAGCACTGAAGGAAGGAAGTTTAAGAAATAGGGATGTATATTTATATCTCTATCTGTGTGTGTCTCTGTATGTTCTATCTATTATCTATCCATCCAGAGAGAGAGAGAGAGAAAGGACAGAGAGAGAGAGTAAATGACATAAGTTGAGCTTCTGGGTCCAGCCAAGATGAAATCATTCATGTCTGCAGGTTTCCTAGATTTATGAATCAATAAAAGTCCCCTTTTTATTCTTGATAGCTTAAATTATATATCTGTTACTTGTAGCTAAAAGACTTCTGATGAAAACCACAGTTGTAGAAGACAAGACTACAGAATTACCTCCAGTTTTCTAATTTAAAAAACTTGGGACATTGGTTGGTATCTGACAAAAGCAGTTTATTGTCAGGACACCGCTGTTCTGAGTTAATAACTGGGACACTTCTCACTGAAGACACATCTGGGGTCTATATTCATTCTTTTTCAGATTTTGGCTTATTTCTGCAATCCTTTCCATGTCCCCTTTCTCCTTTGCTTATGCATAATTTTTATTTCCTTTGCTTGTACATAGTCTTCAGTATACGTAAGGTTGCCCCAAATACAAGTACATCAGCAACTTTAATATGTCCATCTGACTTCCTCTCTACTCTTCATTTAAATAAAACATTATCAAGCCCCCATTATGTGCCAGGTACTGTTCCATGTGCTAGGCATACAGTGATAAACAATATAGGCAAAGTCCTTGCCCTAATGAAATGTACTTTTTGGTGAGAGAAAAGGTCAATAAGCAAGCAAAGACACTAATAAATAAGATAGATTGTGATAAGGCCTATGATGGGAAATAATAGGAACTGAATAGAGAATAAATGGGGGTGGAAATCACTTCTGATGGATGATCAGTGAAGGCCCTTCCTGTAAAGGTGACATTTAAATTAAAAATGATTTCAAAATAAGCATTGCAAAGAGTTGAAGGCAGAATATTCCAGCCAGAGGGACTAGCAAGTGCAAAGTCCCTGAGACAGAGAGAGCTTGATGGGCTCCAAGTACTAACAGAAGGTCAGTGTGGCTAAAGGGATTGGTATGAGTCAGGTTGGAGAGGGATGCAAATTTCAGATCATGCAAAGCCTTGGAAATCAGTACAATGAGCTCTTTTTTTTTTTACTTTAATAAACAGTATTATTATTTGTAGTATTTACACACATACTCTTCCATGGTAATGTTAAAGTTACCATTTTCTTCAAATGCCCCTCAAAATAACATACTCTGCCTTCCTAAGTAAATCTTGGAGGGGAAATTTAGTGAAAGTGATCTGCTCGTGACTGGGTCCCATGTCTCTCTCTTAACTTTTTTTTTTATAACATCTTTACTGGAGTATAATTGCTTTACAATGGTGTGTTGGTTTCTGCTGTATAACAAAGTGAATCAGCTGTACATATACATATACCCCCATATCCCCTCCCTCCCACCCTCCCTATCCCACCCCTCTAGGTGGACACAAAGCACTGAGCTGATCTCCTGTACTATGCAGCTGCTTCCCACTAGCTATCTATTTTATATTTGGTAATGTATATATGACCATGCCACTCTCTCACTTCGCCCCAGCTTACCCTTCTCCCTTCCCGTGTCCTCAAGTCCATTCTCTATGTTTGTGTCTTTATTCCTGTCCTGCCCCTAGGTTCTTCAGAATTTGTTTTTTTGATTTCCTATATATGTG